GTTAAGGTTAGGGCAGGGCTGACAGTGGGACTGCAAGGGGCTCCCTGTGCGGTCGAGGGGCCCAAGATACCCAGGCTGAAGTGGGGGAGGTTGAAGTATTGACCCGGAGGAGCAGAGATGCTCAGCCAGGGCTGCAAGAAGGACAATGAAACCTGGCTGCAGAGGAGGCCACCCTGCTGCTGAAGAGTTCCTGCCCAAACACAGCCCCCTACATTCCTGGGTGCTGAGTGAGTGAACAATCAGGGCCATGAAAGCAGAGCGGCAGAGGGCTCTCTATACATCCATGGGGTTAGTGACAGCTGATCCCTGCAGGCACAGGGTGTGGTGAAGTCTCTAGTCCCGGTGGTGCAGTGCAAAGACCCCTGGCCAGGACTGAGAGGAGGGCGAGCCCCCAGCTGCAGGAGAGGCTACTGGACTGCTCACTGGCTCCATCCCTGGGCTGGATCCATTCAGCTGCAGGGTGGCCTCTGCCACAGCCAGGGGCCCATCCTTCCTGGCAGCCCTGGCCTAGGGTTCTCTGCTCTGCTCCAGCAACGTCTCAGCCTTCAACACACCTTGTGCCTGCAGCAATCAGGTATCACCATCCCCACAGCTGTGCAGGGAGCCCTCTGCAGCTCTAATAGCATGACACCGCTCACTCATTCCTGTGATAGCAGGGCTGCAGTAGACGGCTCTCTGTGCTGCTGCAGAGCCTGAACACCCAATCCTTGAAGACACAAGTTGCAGGGGGAGGCTGCTCTCACACCTACTATTACAGATGGATTTTTTTCCCCACTGATTTCAGTGTCAGCTAAAATAGAAATTTACTGACATATTGACTTAATAGAATCCTGTCAAGCCTAAATATGGAGTATAGACCTAAGAACCTTTCTTCTAAGGGAACTGGTTCTATTGCTTCTGACCTTGGCACAAAAAGTGGGAATGTGCTAATAAAGTTTCCGGATGACACGAAGCTGGGAGGTATTGCTAATACAGAGAAGGACCAGGATATCATACAGGAAGATCTGGGTGACCTTGTAAACTGGAGTAATAGTAAGAGGATGAAATTTAATAGTGAAAAGTGCAAGATCATGCATCTAGGGATTAATAACAAGAATTTTTGTTATAAATTGGGGACACATCAGTTAGAAGTAACAGAGGAAGAGAAGGACCTCGGAGTATTGTTTGATCACAGGATGACTATGAGCCGCCAGTGTGATATGGCCGTTAAAAAAGCTAATGCGGTCTTGGGATGCATCAGGCGAGGTATTTCTAGTAAAGATAAGGAGGTGTTAATACCGTTATACGAGGCACTGGTGAGACCTCATCTGGAATATTGTGTGCAGTTCTGGTCTCCCATGTTTAAGAAGGATGAATTCAAACTGGAACAGGTACAGAGAAGGGCTACTAGGATGATCCGAGGAATGAAAAACCTGTCTTATGAAAGGAGACTCAGAGAGCTTGGCTTGTTTAGCCTAACCAAAAGAAGGCTGAGGGGAGATATGATTGCTCTCTATAAATATATCAGAGGGATAAATATCAGGGAGGGAGAGGAATTATTTAAGCTCAGTACCAATGTGGACCCAAGAACAAATGGATATAAGCTGGACATTAGGAAATTTAGACTTGAAATTAGACGAAGGTTTCTACCCATCAGAGGAGTGAAGTTCTGGAACAGCCTTCCAAGGGGAGTAGGGGGGTCAAAAGACATATCTCGCTTCAAGACTAAGCTAGATAAGTTTATGGAGGGGGTGGTATGATGGGATAGCCTAAATTTTGGCAATTAATTGATCTTTGATTATTAGCGGTAAATATACTCAATGGCCTGTGATGGGGTGGGATCTGAGTTACTACAGAGAATTCTTTCCTGGGTGCTGGCTGGTGAGTCTTGCCCACATGTTCAGGGTTTAACTGATCGCCATATCTGGGGTCGGGAAGGAAGTTTCCTCCAGGGCAGATTGGCAGAGGCCCTGGAGGTTTTTCGCCTTCCTCTGCAGCATGGGACACGGGTCACTTGCTGGAGGATTCTCTGCACTTGAGGTCTTTAAACCATGATTTGAGGACTTCAATAACTCAGACATAGGTTAGGGGTTTGTTACAGGAGTGGGTGGGTGAGATTCTGTGGCCTGCGTTGTGCAGGAGGTTAGACTAGATGATCATAATGGTCCCTTCTGACCTTAAAGTCTATGAGTCTATATCCAAAATGTGTGAGAAGTCATTCATCACCAGCTCATGTTTGATAGAGTTGCCCAAGATGAGTGATTGGATAAAGCAGGGATGGGCGGGACCCTTAGTTTGAGGGAGAACTGAACCTCACTACTTTTTTCACCTACACATCCATGTTGGAGTGGGATTATTCTTCTGAAGCAAAATATCCTGCCTTCTACACTCAGATTAGGCTGGAAGCAGTCTTTCATTGTCACCATGAGCAATTGGAGGTGTTGCTGCCTGCCACCACAGATTTTAAAGCCTAATCCATAGTTCCAGGGCTGTCCTCTGACATCCTTCCCTTGGTTCTTCTGTGAAGAGGATGGATGAAAAGAGAGTTCTCTGCCTGTTGTTAGCCTTGTAGTCCATTCCTGAGGCACTGCTTCTGTATGGATGCATTGGTCTCTGTCATTTAGGGCTTTTAAGTCATCCAGCCAGGACACCACAGCTCTTGTGAAAAATGTGACCAAGGATCCAACAGGCAGCTGAGGAAAATCACAAAATCCCCTTAAGGGTGACCTCCACTTCTGCAACAGTTGTGTCTTTGGGAAAGAAAACCCTTTCTGTTGCGATTATCATATCCTTCACTAATTGTGCCACCTAAATCATCTACCTTTGGTATTTCTGTGAGAGTATTTTTTGACTCTTACATTTTGTAGTATGTAAGTGCATGTCTACTTATACCCTTCCCCAGTCATTCCTATTCATCCCTGATTACATCTTCAAAGGAAGCGTGCAGGGGAATGGATGTCTCAGGCTGGGTTTTGGCTTTCAGACATTTTCCCTTTCACTTCTTATCTACGTCATCCACTTATATCTGTACAGTGGATGACATTTTATTATACGTAGTTGCAAATTTATCAGGGTGAATTTGTTCTGATCAGAGCCTGAATGAGAAAGTTCACATTCCTCAGAGGCGGAGGAGTCTAAGATTCTCCTAGAACGTTTGAATTTTGTCTTTCCCTTTTTGTGCTTTGTGTTATTTGGCTCTTTCTGCTTATTTTGCAGGGATTCCTGAGCGACTGTGGCCATGTGGAATCTCTTGCAGCCCTTTTTATCTACGGCCTTGAGCTTGTGAGATATTTCTTCCTCCAACTCCTCTCACTCTAGGTCCCAGTCCCACCGGATGGATGCGATTTCTTCATTAGAATCCCCCAATTCAACTTGGGAAGAAGAGGAGCTGTGTAGAAGCCCTGCTTCTTTTCTGAAGGAGCTGAGGACCCACTTGAGTATCTGGGGCTGGGGGACTTCGGATCCTTTCTGGAGTTTTCCTCCAGCCCAGGTCTATTATGGGCCTTCCCCTTGAGCTGGCTGGATAGCCTTCATCCTTAGGACTCTCCTCAAAATGCTCAGAAGTTCCTGATTGGGCTTTTCTACATTGGAGCTGCAGGTCCACTTGGAAAGGGAAGGAACCCAACAAGCCGGTTCAAATCCAAGTCCCATGCCCTAGCAGTGCAAGAGTCACCTATGTGAACAAGCAGTGCATAATCTACCCTATGAAGAGCAGATAATAAATGCTGTTCCATGTATGGAACACCACTTTAATTTAGCTTAGTGTTTGCTGGACAACTCTGCTATTGCCTGAGAGGAAGCAGAGGATTCTCCGAGGGGAGGTGCTGCAGCAGATCCAGGTGGTCAAGACCACCTCACTGCCAATTACCCAATCAGAGGGGGAAGAGAGGAGGAGGCAAAAAAAATGGCAAGCTGCTTGCTACTGCCCAAAAAAGGAATTACAAGTAAAGTTGGCAAAGGAAATTATGAGGAGGAAAGCACCACTAACTGTTGCCAGGAAAGTAAGTTTTGGAACAAAACCAGAGAAGGGGGCATGGCCAGCTACTTTGCAACAATGAATTACCTCCAGAACTGCAGAGAGGAGGGGAATAGCTCACGTGCCACAGAATTATTGTGGAAGATGTTCGGCTTTAGAAAAGAAACTGCTTTGAAAACTTAAGACTAATTTTTTTTTATTTAGGCTAAGATGTACATATTTAAACAATTAAATAAGTAGGCCAATTTTCAAAAAGAACCAGCAGCTCCCATTGATCCCAGATAACTTTGTAGGAGTCTAAAATAAGAATTATGGAGACTTCACCTTTAGGTAAAATTTTGGCCTTAGGCCCTAAAGTCTAGACTAAAGTGGGAAAATAGGCATTTGTCAGTTTGGTTTCACTGTTCTGTATCAATTTCTGTTTCCAAAATTCTGTTTCCAAATTCTAATATTTTTCTTCAGATTCTATGAAAAAATTATCCCAAAGTCTTGTAACTAATTGCACGTTTGTTTTTAAAATGTCCTACATCCAAAGGCTTCTGATTTTATTCCACCCTGGACATTAGCTTAAGGCTGTTCCTATGACTATTCCCACAAGTCTTGTAATTTTTAAAATACTGAACAAACTAGGTGTTATTTCAAAGTCCTTTAATATTTGATTTAAAGAATGCAAACATTTGACACAAATGTGAATTTTTCTAACACAGTACTGAGGGATTGTGAATGGAAAAGAAAGTTAATGTATACAGCAAATAGAAGCTTTGTAATGTTCATAGTGCTACTTATCAAGAGAAAAGACTTTTCATTACAGCCTAAATCAGGGAAAAAACAGGAAAAACAAACATTTGGTGCCCTTTTCCCCCTCTGAATTGAAATAGTCCTGTCTCATTTTTACAACTACCCATTAAATCTCATGAACCATATCCTGCTGTTAATGGGCTGTTAAGATTTCAAAGCTTCTGTAATTCTACTGTAAATCCTGGCCCCTTCTGCAGCACTGACAAAGCCACTAAAACCCTAACTGTAAGAGATCAGAAAAGTTCTCTTAGCTGAAAGAGGAAAGAACAGTTACTTATTATACAATACTGTCGTTCGAGATGCATTGCCCACACAGATTCTTCATATGCACAAGATAATATTTTTAACAGTGTCCATTGGGACCTGTGCTTTGGGAACCCTTGCGACCACAGTCACCAAGTGTATCAGGAGCAGGGCCTCTTAGTTCCTTTGCCAATACAGAATCCCAAGTGATGGGACTCCATATTAGGGATGGAGGGTGGGTCATGGAATCTGTGTGGACAACACTTCTCGAAGAACCACAGTCAGGGCCGTCCCTAGGAGGGTGCGGGGCCTGGGGCGGAAGTGATGGATTTGTCTCTTCTGGTACCAATCACACCGGCCCACGGGGCACCCTGAAGTGCAGGGCCTGGAGCGGGGGGAGGGGGGGGGCCAGGGCGGAAGTGACAGATTCATCTCTTCCAGGGCCGACCGCGCCTATCACACTGGCCGACGGGGCAGCCCAAAGTGTGGGGCCTGGAGTGGTCACCCCAATTCGCCCTACCCAAGGGACAGCTCTGACCATAGTTACCATAAAGTAAGTAACTGTTCTTTCTTTGAATGATTGTCTATACGGATTCCACACTCTTGGTGACTAGCACACAGTATTGCATGCTTGGAGGCAGGTAAGACAAGTCCTACTTAAATATTGACTGAAGGACCACCCTATCAAAGCTTGCATCTCTTCTACAGGCCTGAACCAAAGCCTAGTGAGTGGTAGAAGTATGGACTGAACTCCAAGTCACTGCCCCAAAAATCTCAGTCAATGAGACACTATTCAAGGAGGTGAAGGAGACTGCCAGGGCTTGAAATCTGATGAATCCAGAAGGATCTTTTTTTGCTAGTGCAGACCAGTTACGGATGCAGTCTGAAACCCTCTAAGACAGCCTCTGTGAGAATATCAGTTGCCCTCTCCTCCGTTCTGCAAATGCAACAGATGAGGCTCTGATTGACCTAGTCCTGGCCAAGTAGAAAGACAATACTCTACCCACAACCACCATGTGGAGTTTTGCCTTGGCCAGGAAAGAAAAAGGTTTGGGGGAAAAGACTGGTAGATAAATAGACTGGTTATTGAGAAAGTCTGAGACAACGTTGGACAGTGAGGCCTGAGAGTGCCTTGTCTTTGTGAAAGATGGTATAAGGTCTTTCCATGGGACTTGAATCTCCCCTGTTCTCCTGGGTGATATAATAGCCAACAGGAGAGATGTCTTTATGGAGAAGTGGTAGAGGGAGCAAGTAGCCATGGGAGGGCCCATCAAACCAGTGGGCACTACACTGAGAAACCACATAGGAGGGGGTTATGACGACTGGTGGAAAGTAACGGGTAAGTCCTTTAAGTAATTTCGTCATGGTGGGGTGAGAAAATACCATGTGGCCCTGGACTAGGGGATGATTTGCTGAGGTTGTGACCTTAAGGTGAAACTTAATTGAACTGACAGATAGTCCTGACTGCTTGAGTGAGAGCAAACAGTCCAAAATAATGGGGATTGTGACTAGCAAAGGAGCATAGTGTGTTGTTTGGACCAAATGGAGAATAGTTTCCATTTGGCTTGATAAATTCATTTTGTTGAGGGGTTTCTAATTTGGTGTAGAATGTCTAAGACTGCTGTAGAGCAATTCTTTTCAGCAGATGTCAGCCAGCTAACATATAGACCATCAGGCCTAGAGACTTTGGGTACAGATGCAGGACCTGGCTGTTTTCCTGAGACAGGAGGTCGGATAGAATTGTCAATTCTGAGCCAGAGACTCACCAAGGAATAAACTTCATGTCATGAGCTTCTGAATGAACAGTCTTACTAGATTCAAGTACCAGAATGGCCTGGCCCAAGCTTGGGCTATTAGGAGGATAATCCTTGCATTTTACATCAATTTCTTCAATATTTTGAGGAGCATGGGTATGAGTGTAAAAGTGTACATCAGACTGTGAATGAATGTGATGCTTTGTGCTGAGGTCTGTGGATTTGTCCTTGTTGACCCTGAGGCCCAGAGAAGTTAAGAAGTCTAGAGTCTTGTGAATGAAATGAGTGACTAATTCAGGGATGAGGATCATATCAACCAGTAGTCCAGATAAGGATATACCTGGATTCCTTGCCTTCTTAGATAATCAGATGCTATGGCAAGAACTTTGGTAAATACCCTTAGAGCAGTAGATAGGGCTGTGGGTAGGATCCTATACCAGTAATGTGGCAATCTCACCAGGAATTGAAGGCATTTTCTGTGTGCTAGAAGTACTGAAATATGAAAATAGGTGCATTGCAGGTTGAGAACTGTGAACCAGTCCATAGGATCAAAGGAGCAGATGATAGAAGGTAGGTTGGCCATTCTCAATTTAAAATGATGGATGAAACTGTTGAAACATTGAAGATGCAGGATGGGTCTCCATCCCCTTTTCTTCTTTAGAAAGAAGTAGTAATGGGAGTAGAACCCTTTCCCTTAAAATTTTTGAAGAACCTGCACTACCACTCCCAGTTGTAGGAGGGAGCCAACTTCTTGTCTCAAGTGTCCCATAAGAAGGGCCCCCAAAGAGGAATAGGAGGTAGAATAGTCTCAATCTGGATGGGACACCCCTGGATCACAATCTCATGGACCCACCAATTCAAGGTAATCCCAGTCCAGGCCTCACTGGAATAAAAAAAGTAGTTGCCAAACGGAGTGGCAGAGAGTGGATCCATATCGGCTGTTTACAATCTCATCAAAATTTCTTCCTCTGCACTTGACTCTGTTGCTGGGCTGCCTTGGCTACTCTGAAGGGTGCTACTGAGGGTAAAACTGCTGCTAAGGCCTGAACCTGAAAGAGGATTGTGGGAGTTATTTTTCATCGGGGCTGGAATATTTAAACCCAGAGAGTGAAGGGTATTTGGTTGCAAACCAACATGTTTTAATCGTTACCAACCAGAGAAAATGAACCTCTCTTTACGAAAATAACTGAAGTACAAATGGAACACGAAATTAAAATCAATTATTTAAATCCAGGGTTCCTGCTTGCTGATTTAAATCAGGATTAAAAGCAGTAATTTAAATAACTTCTTACATCAATCCTAGCTATTTTCATGACTGTCAAATTAAGTGATAGCCAAAAATTCCAAACTCTTATATCAGAAAAAGATTAGTGGTATAAAAACAGTTGAAAATTAATAAAGTTTAATTAAGATTAGCAGGGGAGAATATATAGGCCTTTAATCTGAATAAACTGCACTAATTCTACTCATAGCTGTTTTTTAATGAGCTGGTATCAGAAAAGTGCACTTTTGCATGGGGTATCATTATATAATACACCTTGTTAACTAGTGAAGGAATTTAATTTTGTACTGTAACTTGAAATATTTGCCTTTTTAAAATAAAATGTTGCTATTGTTTTCAACAGAAATAACCTTATAATATGTTAATGTCTGATGTTATAAATACCTGTCCTCTGTGAAGTGGTGGACGTTTAATAAAAGCTTAATAAAGTCATTGTGTTACATTTTACATGCGTAGGTAATATAAAAAAAATTGAAAAACCACCACTGAAAAACCCTGTACCACACAACATCAAACAGACTACCTTGGCAGTGGAGGTTTCCAAATATATTTTCCAGGATTGCATAATATATGACTCCATTTGGCAGGTGGTTCAAAGAGCTAGTAGGGGAGAGTTTGTTCTAAAATAATTTGGACAATGAATATTTATCATCATTACCTACACTCTTCCAATTTTAAAATAGGATTAAATGTACTAAGATTACAATGTAAGCAATATCTTTCATTACAGCTAAATTGATGTGTAAGTTATAGAACTTGCTGTCCCTTTTTTCCCCTTATTTATCCCATCACTTAGCAATCCCTTTTCCAAGCTGCCAATAGAAATAAATGGGAAAATTGCCTGTAATCTGGTTGAAGTATGAAAGCCTCTCCAATTGCACTGTCAATGCCATCCAAAAGATCTTCCATTTAAAAGGTCCAGTAAGGTTTGTATAAACATGATACCCCTCTTAAGGCTGATTGCAATCATTTCTGGGAAACACTGAGTTTCACTGGCCTGAAGTTTTAGAGTTAGTAGATCAATGTACTATTCCTGAATAATAAAAGACTAGTTCTTGACTCCTAGCCACACAAATGTTATAATTTACATCTGTTTCTTAAGTGCTTCTAGAGACAGAACTGACATGAAATGTAAAGAAGTAACTAAAATCATGATAGGTTTCAGAGTAGCAGCTGGGTTAGTCTGTATCTGCAAAAAGAACAGGAGTACTTGTGGCACCTTAAAGACTAACAAATTTATTAGAGCATAAGCTTTCGTGGGCTACAACCCACTTTGTAGCCCACGAAAGCTTATGCTCTAATAAATTTGTTAGTCTCTAAGGTGCCACAAGTACTCCTGTTCTTTTTGCATAATGTTACAGCATGTGCACCAGCGATTCAGCTGATATCAGCACTGAGTGGTCATGAAGCACTTCCTGCTCCCTCAGGAACATACATACCCTATTTTGAAGTTAGCAGTATAGTGGTAATAGGGAAGATACCATCTTTTGGTGATTTATCCCCTCCTAGTAAGTGACAATTAGTTATGTAAATTAAGCTTGTGCCAACTCTCACTTGTTTCCTAGCTTAGTCCCTAATCTTGCAAAGCAATCCACTCAGACAGAACCTTATGCCTGCCTGCCATCCCACTGATCGCTGTGAGAATCTGTACAGTTGTAAAAGTCTGCTACAACTGACCACTTAGCAGAAATAATGCACTGATTATAGAAATAACAGAATGTGTGTTAACTGTAAGTCACATGAGATAACTACATGGCAAGTTTGGAAGAAATCCAATCAACTGTAGGTTAAGTAACTGTTCTTTCTTCTTTGGGTGATTGTCCAGATTACTAATCACCAGCGCGAAATCTAAGAGACCTCAGAGTCTGGAGGTGGATGCTAGGAGTCCTCTTTAAAGAATGATTACAGGACAGCTCTGTCAAGGTTGGCATCAGATCTTGAGACCTCACTAAGGAATAGTGCTGGGTGACAGTGTAGACTGATCCCCATGTAGCTCCGGCCGGGGGTTGTCATGGTCACAGGTGGCCTGAATTGGCGTCAGGAGCTCCCTACCTGAGTCATGTGTGGTCCCCGCTCGGTTGGGTGACCCTGGTTTCCCTGGATCCTTGGTTTATGGGTCTGATGCTCTGACACCTTGGTAGTCAGGTAACCTTGCATTAAGGAGACGGGCCCAGCAAGGATCACTGGCCCATTGCAAAAGGACCACTGCACCCATTCTTTCTCCCCACCAGGAAGGATCTGAGTAAACTGCTCCAGCGCTACCATCTCCGCCGCTTGGACCTTGGTCAGCTTCTCTGGTTCTAGCCATTGCTAGCAGTAATCCTGGGCTACTGCCTTAGGCCTGGCCCCAAGCGGGTAACATTCATGACTGAATAATTTGCAGTATGTCTCAGAACTGATGCCAGTCTGGTCCAGGATGGCCCCCTTCACTTTGCTGTATTCCAGCGCCTCGTGGGGGGTCTAGGCAGGCAAGGTAGGCAGTCTGGGCTGGTCAAATACAGAGCCAAGAGAGTAGCCCAGTGTTCTGGCAGCCACTAGGCGGCGGCGGCGACTTGTTCAAATGTCACGAGGGTCCAGGTCCACCACTTGTTCCCAAGCCTGGCTTAGGGTTGGGTCCTGCCTTTGTTCCTTCAGGAAGTGCCCATCGATGTCCAGCCACCCCTCTCCGTCCTCCTCTGGGTCCCTTTCGTGGGGTGGCTTCGAACGAGCATCTTGGGTCAGTCAGAGGGATTTTGGTAGCGCAGGAGCACCCTTTTTGCTGGCTCCATTCTCCTTATGTCTGTGGGGAGCTTACTCCACTCTTGCAAGACCTGATGGAACAATTGCCAGTCACATCCCAAGATCACGGGGTAGGCCAGCTTCAGGGACAGACTGACTCAACATAGTTCCTCATGCCAGGCGACCCCCTGGTGGTCAGGTACAGCCACACATCCCCATGGATGCATTGTAGGTGGATATTTGTTTTTGCTGGATCTGGGGATTCTACCAGGCTGGCTTGGACAAGTGTTTGACTACATCCCCAGTTGAACAGGGCCATTAGTGGGGTTCCGTTCACCTGCACGGGGATTAGGAGTTTATGTGGGCCCCTCTTCTGGGCCCAGAGGCCTGCCACCCACACCTGGCGTACTTCAGCTATGCAGCTGAATGGTTGCAAGAATATATTTTTATACTGAGAAAAGTGATTTTTACCCACTCTCTTCCTAGTCAATAATAACTGAAATGTCTCTCAAATCTTCCCAAAACATAATTTTTTTTAAACATTTAAAAACCTTAGGCTGGCAGTGCTCCCCTTGGCCAGGGCTGGCACCAGGTGTTTTGTCACCCAAGGTGGAAAACCTTTTCGGTGCCCCCAACCAAATAAACCAAAACAAAACAACAAAGCAATGTTGCCCTCCCTTCCCCCTGCACTTGATTTGGTGCTCCTGGAAGTTGGCACCTAACCAATCACCCTGATCGCCCACCTCTAAATCCTGGCTCATATCACAAAGGTATGACATTTCTGTTTTCTTGGGACCAGCAAATATGTGTGTAGGGCACAGGATTAGCACTCTCCTCTCTTCTTATATTATACAGAACCAGTGAATTTATAGGTTATAGGTTATATATTTTTGCCATTAGAAAACAAACTCTCATTTACTGATCTCCTTTGTAAAGCACTTTGAGATTCACTGATGAAAGGTGCTGTATAAGAGTTAGATATTATTAAAACTGAGATACGAAGAATTTCTCATGTCTAGTTTGTAGTACATGGTGTTTCTAAAAATAGCTCCTGAGAGCAGTTTATAATTTGAAACATATACAATGAGGATATCCTTTTAACTATTTCTAATAGTACCTTTTTACATATTTATAGGGTAAGAGATTCTGGTACATGGTGTAAAGAAAAGGAAAAAACCTAATATTTTATGTTTGCAGTGTTGTTGTAGACATGTTAGTCCCAGGATATAACTTTTCT